ATTATTCTTAAAACAGGAAACATTAACAGAGTTTTGAAGTAGAGGAGGTAGTTCTTCCGAGAGCCTGGGAAAGGACACGAAAGCAGAATTAAGAAAAATATTGCTTTTGGCTTTCCAGTGAATAAGCCTGCCCTCACAACACTCACTCTTATGAACAAACTCTGTTAATGTTGGGGGACACACATTATGAAGAACTTTGAAACCAAGAACAAGCCGGTGATATTTAAAAATATCTTCTTTGCTTAATATGTTAAGCGTTTTCAGCCTATCTTCATAATGTGTGTCCCAGTCACCATCTTTTTTAAACATAATTATTCTGGTGGCTCTACGTTGGATGCTTTCAATTCTATTAATATTAGTTTTGTCACCTGGTGCCCACATTGCACAACAATAAGTAATAATTGGCAGAATCAATGCTTTATATAGATTTAACATTACAGCCCATGACATATTTTTACTACACTTTAATAAAACCTAGTAATTGTGATGATTTAGAACAAATATAATTTACTTGTGTATACCATGAAAGTTTATTATTTATAAAAACACCAAGTAATTTAAATTCATTTACTTTTTCTAAGTAAATATTATATATTTTATAATCCCATTTAATTGGGTTCTTACTTTTACTTATATGCATAGTAGCACATTTAGAGGTAATTTATTGACAACTGACCAATTGTATATCTTGTCAAGATCTTGCTAAAGAGCAATACAGTCCCTAATATTATTGATTTGGTGGGAGAGAGTATGGTCATCTGCAAACTGAAATATTGATGATGAGATATCATTTACAATGTCACTAACATAAATTAGGAAGAGAAGCGGGCCCAACACAGAACCTTGAGGGACCCCAGATGTTACATTAATCCACTCTGACTGCTCTCCTCTATAAATAACTCTTTGCCTTCTGTTAGTTAAGACATTTTTTATCCAGCTATTGATAATACCTGTAATGCCATACATGCTAAGTTTTTTAATTAATCTGCTATGAGGAACTTTGTCAAAGGCTGACGAAAATCTAAAAATATAACATCAATATTTTTACAACCATTATCAATACTTTTAGACTAGATGTTAAGAGATATTCTGTATTATACATTTGCCTAAAACCAAATTGGTTATCAGAGATAATGTTATTTAACAAGAATTCATTAATCTTATAACATAACAGTTTTTCAATAACTTTACTTATTATTGGTGTTAGGGACACAGGTCTGTAACTTTTTAAATCATTTTTTGGTTTCCCATGTTTTTTGTGGACTGGTACTACATTAGCCTCCTTCCACTGTTTATGGACAATGCCTTTGTTTATAGAAAAATTAAAGAAATAATAGAAAACATTAGCAAGTTCTTCCTTACATTGTTTTAAGAACAATGGAAGAATACAATCTGGCCCAGGTGACTTAGAAGCATCCAGCTTAGATAAAGCATAATAAACTTCATCTATTTCAAAAGGTTGAAATTCAATTTCATTTTAAATTTCAAGAGCAATATTAGACAAATTCCGAAGATTATCATCACTCTGGTTGGCAGTAAAATTTGAAACAGATCTTTCATTAAATAAATCTGCTATTTGTTTAGCAGAAGTAACCGGTTGATCACCAATCTTAAAACAAATAATTTCGGACTCTTGCCTAATTGACCTGATATAAGCCCAGAATCTTTTAACATTATTAGACTTGTTGTTTGATATGTTCAAAATATAATTTTTGTGACTGCAATAAATTTCTTTCTTGAGGTGTTGACTGCACTTTTTAAATTCTTCTTTTGACTTCTCAGTTTTTAACCGGGTATATTTTTTGTAAAGATTTCTTTTTTTAGTACACAGTTTTTTGATTTCTCTTGTAATCCAAGGAAATGAACTTTCCTTTTTTCTTTTCTTAATGGGAACACAATCCACAATGGCAGCATTAATTTTATCATGAATTTTCCCCCATACATTACTAACATCATCTGAATCAAAGCATGATTCCCAATCAACATCCCTCAACAGATTTTTTATTTTATGAAAATCAGCCCTTTTAAGATCATATACAATTTTGTTGACAGTAGTAGTAGTAGTAGTTTTAGTAGTAGTAGTATTAAACAAAACTTTATAAATGTTGTGTCCAAACCACAACGTTTGATGTTTAGCGAACCGCAAGGTTCAATGTTTTGCTCGCTGTTGGAGCGCTCGCTGTTTTTTTGGCATTAAATGGTTATCTTGAAAGTTTACCTACATCTTATCATTCCTCATTTACGTCAATCTAAGAGTGACAAATACAACACTGGCGACGAGGATGGGATTTATTTAGAAACCCTTGCCCTAGGTGTGTGAGTTGGTTATTAGCTTAATTTTTTTCATAACATTGAAGAGAGTAAGTGCAGCCGTTCGTTGGGAATCTGTACCTTCATCGTTCGTCGGCGTGGTGTTCTGCGAGACACAGCACGGAGTGCACTTTACTGCTACATAGCAACCACATAGCAACGGCAGAAAGCTTACGGTAGGCTAGCTTAGAAAGACTCGTCTATAGATAGGACGCCTAGTATGGCTACTGCTATAGGAAAGATTGATGTATTTGATGGAAGCGTGGAGTCATGGGATATATACAAGGAACGGTTGGACCAATATTTTATTGCTAATGATATAGAAAATGTAAAGAAGGTCCATGCCCTACTCAGTTTGATAGGATAGGTGGACAGACATATGCATTGTTTAACAGCTCCAGATCGTCCAGCCACTAAAACCTACAATCAGTTAACACAGACTTTGCAAGAACATTTTGTTCTGCAAAGCCAATTGTGATAGCAGAACGTTTCAGGTTCCACAAGCGGGATCAGGGAGATCATGAGAACGTACGTGAGTACAATGCGGCTCTACGTACATTAAGTGAATGGTGCGAGTTTGGCAATACACTATCTGATACATTAAGAGACAGGTTGGTGTGTGGTCTCCGGAATGAGACTATATAAAAACGGCTGTTATCAGAATCAAAGTTAACTTACAAGAAGGCCATAGAGATTGATATGGAAACGGCTTCCAAGGACGTTATCAAGCTCCAAAGCATTTAAACACAGTACACGCGATGTACAACGAACGCTCAGAGACGAGTGTAAGCAAGCCACATAAACAAGGTAAACCCTGTTTTAGATGCAATGGCACTAATCATGATGAAGCTCAGTGCCGTTTTAGAAATGTAACATGTCATAACTGTAAGAAAAGGGGACATGTTCAAAGAGCATGTCCAGGAGCAAAGGCTACAAATGAGCCTGCATTTCGTCATACAAGGAAGTGGTCCAACAGAGGCGCACATTCGCTTGAATATGACTCCGAGGAATACGGAGATGAAGTAATTATTAACGTTGAAATACACAAAGTGAAACGAGATGATGTAATCTGGGTAACACCCACCATAGAGGGACAATCTCTGCAAATGGAATTGGAAACAGGCTCAGCGACTACTACTACTACAAGAACTTTGCTAATCTACGGCTATTTCACTCGGACATTAAACTTAAAACATATTCCAGTGAAGTATTGGTACCTATTGGTGTCTTGAAAGTAAAAGTGGAATTAAATCAACAGAACAAGACGTTGGAATTGTATGTAGTCCAACATGGAGGGCCACACTTATTCGGTCGAGATTGGCTGCGCAACCTCCAACTTGACTGGAAACAAATAAAGTTGATTGCACGATGTGAGGACAAGAAGCCAATGAAACATCTGATGACCAAGTATAAGGACATTTTCAGCGAAACCTTGGGTACATTACAGAACATTAAAGCATGAATCAAAGTGAAAGAAAATGCCTCACCGAAATTCTGCAAGGCTAGACCAGTACCATATACCATTAAACCTAAAGTCGACAAGGAAATTGATCGATTAGTTAATGCCGGGATTCTGCACAAAGTGTCGAGCCATAGTGAGTGGGCAACGCCTATAGTCCCCATACCTAAGAAGGATGGTTCTATCCGTATGTGTGGTGATTTTAAAGTCACCATAAACCCGGTGCTGGACATTGACAAGTACCCATTGCCAAAGATTGAAGACATCTTCGCAGCATTGGCGGGAGGAGAGCATTTCACAAAGATAGATGCCATAGACCAAGTACTTCAGGGAATACCGGGAGTACAATGTATGTTGGATGACATGATCATCACAGGAAAGACGACAAAAGAACACCTTGAAAATTTAGAAACTGTAATGCAACATCTACAGCAATATGGGTTACAACTAACCAAAGGAAAATGTGAGTTTTTCAAGAAACAAATTCAATTCTGTGGACACATTATTGATGGTGAAGGACTACACAAAACACCAGAGAAGATAGAATCTGTCTTGAAGGCTCCAGAACCAGAGAATGTGTCACAGCTGAAAGCCTTTCTCGGATTAGTGAATTACTACGGAAGGTTCATACCTGACTAGCTACCATGTTAAGACCTCTACACCAATTGCTGGAAGCAGATAGTAAGTGGCAGTGGTCACAAGCTTGTGAACAGGTATTTCAGGAAGTCAAAGATGCTATGACTTCAGATTTGGTGTTAACACACTACGATCCTAAAAAAACCGGTAAAAGTCGCATCGGACGCTTCACCCTATGGGCTAGGGCAGTACTGTCCTGTCACACACATTCGCAGATGGATCAGAAAGACCTATTGCTTTTGCTTCCAGGTCATTAACGAGGGCGGAGCGGAACTACGCTCAAATTGACAAAGAAGCACTGGGGATTGTTTGGGCAGTGAAGAAGTTTCACGCATATTTATTTGGGAGAACTTTTACACTGGTGACTGATCATCAGCCCTTGGTGTCCATCTTTCACCCTCAGAAGGGAATCCCAATAACAACGGCAGTATGGCTGCAAAGATACACCCTATTACTGGCGGGGTTCCAGTACCAAATCGAATACAAGTGCACTAAGGGTCATGGCAATGCTGATGGGCTGTCTCGTCTTCCGACCAAGCAGATGCATGTAGAGGAAGAGGAATACGATTTATTAGAATAAATTCATGTATGACACATGGGCGTGGTTAAAATAAAATCGCTCGCCAGAAGTTTTGTATGGTGGCCTGGTATCGATCATGAACTAGAGGAAGTTACAAAGCGATGTACCGGATGCCAGGCTAACAGAAACATGCCTATAGCAGCCCCAGTTCATCCATGGGAGTGGCCCCAAGGACCATGGAAAAGGGTGCATGCAGACTTCGCAGGACCATTTGAGGGGAAAATGTTCTTCCTCTTAGTGGACACACATTCTAAGTGGCCAGAGGTGATTGAAATGTCAGCAACCTCAAGTGAACAAACCTTTGAAATATTGAGGAATGTATTTGCGAGGAATGGGTTGCCAGAACAGTTGGTAACGGACAATGGTCCGCAGTTTATCACACATACATACAAATGGTTTATGGAAGCCAACGGCATTCGACATACAACTTCTGCCCAGTATCATCCAAGGCCAAACGGCCTGGTGGAACGGTTCGTTCAAACCTTTAAGCAGGCTATGAGGGCATCAAGAGCACAGCATAGTTCGTTACGAAAGAGGCTGTCAACGTTTCTGCTCAATTATAGATCAACTCCGCAAACCACAACCCAAGAAACAGCTGCAAAGTTGTTCTTAGGCAGAGAGCATTAATGAAACCAAACATCGCGAGGAAGGTGGATGTCGTGAATGAGAAAATGGAGAAAAAGTCTCCAAGTAATGTGCGCAAATTCACAGTAGGGGAAACAGTAGCTGTACGAGAGTATCGTGGATACAATAAATGGATTCCTGGTATTATCAAATCGGTGGCTGGTCCACTCTCATATACAGTTCAGAATTCCCCAGGGACTGAATGGTGCAGACACACAGATCAATTGAGATCAGCCAACTTTAGAGATCAGGAAATTCCCCATGCAACACTATTCGAAAAGGAACACACACCAACAATGCGAGAAACAGTGACAGATCATGATGATGATAAAGTAATAACAAAGGAGCACCGTTATCCCTTAAGGAAAATTAAACCACCTACTAGACTTGATCTATAGAACACTGTTATACATGAGTTACAATGTTGGGACAGTTAAAAGTTAAAGTCAGACTCCGGAGAAAAAAAAATTTTTGATATGTTGTAGAACATACAGATACAACATATCAAAAATTTTTTTTCCTCCGGAGCCTGACTTTAAAGGGGGAGGGATGTTGTGTCCGAACCACAAAGTTTGATGTTTAGCGAACCGCAAGGTTTGATGTTTTGCTCGCTGTTGAGCGCTCGCTGTTTTTTTGGCATTAAATGGTTATCTTTAAAGTTTACCTACGTCTTATCATTCCTCATTTACGTCAATGTAAGAGTGACAAATACAACAATAAACACTTGCAAAACTGAACCATATATTACATCAAACTGATCCATATCATATTTCTGTATCTTAAGACAGGGCCTGGGATTTACAGATTCAAGACAAATAATTAGATTTTTTTATTAAGTAAGTTTGATAGATCCACCCCCTTGAGCTGAATACACTTGAATACTAAAGATGACCGTTTTAGGTCAAATATATCACTTAAATGTAACCAACCAAGTGACATAAACATTTCTTTAGAGGGTGTTAAAATATTTGAATTTAATATTAATCTTGCACCACGTTTTTGGAGTCTGGTCAATTTGTCAAGATCATTATCAAAGCGTTTTGACCACACAGTACTACAGTATTCGAAATGTGGTTGAACAAGTGAAAGGTAAAGTTGGTTTAAAGTAGATTGGTTAATAGGTTTTTGACACTTTAGGATTGAGAGAGTAGCAAACACTTTTTTAGATACAGACTTAACATGATCATGCCAAGATAATTGATCGTCAATAATTACACCAAGGCATTTATAGTTGTAAAACTCTTTCCAATTCATTCCCATTAACATCAATTTTAAAGTTTTGATTTGATAATCGGCAGTTTGTACCCAGAAGCATAATTTTAGTTTTCTCAATATTTATACATAATTTATTTTTATTTATCCACAAACAAATTTTGTTTATGTCCTCTGACATTGCTTTTTCAATATTATTAACATTTCTATTAGCAAAAGTTGTATCATCAGCAAACAATGATATTTTACCATGGGAAATAACTTGCGAGATATCGTTTATAAAAATAAGAAAAAAGAGAGGGCCTAAAATTGAACCTTGGGGTACTGTACTGGCAAAATATCACAACCATATATTTATCGGTAGGTGTATCGGTAGGTGTAACACCTACCGATAAATTCATTGGTTGTGATATTTTTATATTAAAGGGTACACTTTGTTGTCTGTTTGACAGATATGATTGAAACCATTGTAGAGCATGTAAAGAACAACCTATGTGTTTTAACTTTTCCAATAAAATGGTGTGGTTAACTGTGTCAAATGCCTTTCTCAGGTCTATAAAGGCAATGCCTGTAAGTTTACCCTCATCAATATTTTTCAACCAATTATCAATCATTTGAATCAACGATGTTTCTGTGGAATAGAATTTTTTAAAACCAGATTGATTACTATCATAAATATAAATAAATAAATATAAATATTAAAATAACTTCAGGCAAGTCAAAAATACCTGGAGGATTAATAGTTGGTTTATCTTTTTCAATAGGACTGGCATAAAGTCCCTTTGTTATATCAGAACCTATTGTTATAAAATGTTTATTGAATGCGTTTGCAATATCATAATCAGAACTTAAATCTTTATTATTAACTGTTACATGAGTAGGGTTGCTCTTTTTCTTAGTTGGTAGAACTTCTTTCAAATTTTGCCAAAGTTTACGATTATTATTCTTATTTTTACATAGAACATAGAACATAGAATTTTCTTTTAGCCTTTTGAAGTTTACATGTTACTTCATTCCTAACTTTTTTATACTTGTCCCAGTTAACATCTAATTTAGATTTTCTTGCAATTTTTAGCAACCTATCTCGTTCATTCATAGCATAGAGAATATCAGCAGTTATCCATTTACAATTGTTAGACCGAATCCTTTTTTGCTTCTTTGGAGCATGATTATTTACGTTCATGAACATAGATTTCCACATGGTCCATGCACTATTTACAGATATATCACTATGACAAATCATTAACCAACGTACTTGTGCAAGATCTTGAATAAACGCATCTTCATCAAAAGCCTTAAAACTACAGTATTCAACTATTTTGTGATCATTGTTTTTTACTTTAGTCCCATGAATTACATAAGTTATATAGTTGTCACTTATACAAGTAATTACGACTCCATGTTCAATGATTCGTTCAGGCTTAGATGACAGGATAACATCAATTATTGTTTGATGTGACTAGTTGGTCTGTCAATTACTTGTGTTAATTGGTTAAGATTGCATATAAATTCAAGCAACTCAGTTTCTCTCTTATTTAGTTGGTTAAAATCACAATTCAAATCTCCTAGTAATAATATCTCTTTGTCTTCAGCAGAAGCTTTATTGAGTGATAAACTTAAGTGGTCAAATAATAGTGGATTATATTCTGGAGGCCTATAAACAGAAGATACTAAGATAGATGTTGAATGAGGAAAATTAATTTCAATCCATATACATTCCAGTCCCCTTATTTCAAGATCCTTTATGAGAAAGTAATTCAAGTTATTAGAAATATACATTGCAACACCACCACCATTTCTTGTCCTATCACATCTTAAAATATTAAAATTTTCAATAGCAATTTCACCATCAGTTATAGTTTCATCACAGAAAGTTTCATTAATGGACAATATGCCAATATCAGATATATTATTCTTAGTATATGTTTAAGCCTATCCATCTTATTAACAAGACCACGTATATTAAGTTGAAACAATTTTAAACCTTTACAATTTATTTTAGGTATCATTCCATTGTTCAAACTTACAATTTTGCTATTTTTAGCTTCAATCAAGTTTTGAGTTGTCATATTATTAACAGTTGAATGATTATCATTGCAAATAAATAGATTAGGATTAGAAACATTATTATTTACAGTGTTTGGATTATCTTTAATTGTTGATTTTTCACAGTTATCAGTAATAGTAGTTGAAACAGTAACATCTTCAGTAGTAATATGCTCTTTATTTTCTTGTTTGTTCTTATCTGCGGCTAAGCTTTCGTTGCCAGGATCTCAGTAATGTCCGTATGTACATGACTTTGCTTTGTGTCCCATTTCATTACAGTGCCAACATACTACTGGTTTGCCGTGTCTACAAACCCTACGTGTGTGTCCTGATTCACCACAAAAGTGGCAAAGGGTATTCATTGATTTACTTGAGATTTGTTCTGGTTTGGGCTGAATGATCTGTACTGCTCTGTTGAGACTCCTGATTAACGCTGTCATTCCTTTTTTGTTCAGATGTAATACGTGTCTGGTGAATTTGGAAGAATCAAATTTACCGTAGCTTGATAGAAATGCACGCGTGTTATCAATAAATGTGAGTCCATATATTGACTGATAGCATGATCGTTGATCCTGACATCATCAAGGCGAGGACAAATACTTCAAATGTACACATTGACAGATATTCGTCCTTTAAGTGTAGATATTAATTGCTCAAAGTCCAGCTCAAGTTGTCGTAGGTTGAAATCTTCTTTACTGACATCATTTGTTCCACAATGTAGTATTACATGCTCAACGTTGTTAAGATCCAAATTTCTTAAAGTGTGATCAAGCTGCTTGGTTGTGGAACCTCGTAGTGTTCTTGACTTAATGTGTTTCAACATAGAGTCAACTATAATAAGATTAATTTCATTTCTTTTAATCAATTCATTTGATTCATTTCCTTCATTATTTAGAACCTCAAAAGTGTTTGATAATTCGATATCATTAATAATCTGATCATTTCTACGTTCAGCAGCCTTTGCACTTCTTGGTTGAGGTTGCTTAAATTCTGCAGTACTCTGTATTACTAACTCTAGGCATTTTAATTTCTCTTCTAGAACAGCATTTCTATCACTAAGTTCATTGAAGGCAGAGGTAAGATGTACAAAATTGCTGTGTAGATCATGTTGCTCATATAGTTGTTTTCTTAACTCTTTAATTCTATCCTCAGCATTTTTTTTTGTTGCTTTTTCAAGGATGGTGTTAGGTCCCATGATTTAGGTGTCTGACATTCAGCATCATTAGATTCAATCACTTCTGTTTGGCATGATGTAGAACACTTATCTGATCGAAACAGTGATTTTCGGATTGGTGTAGATGAAAGGATACAAGGAAAATTATCTATGGTGTTCATAAATTCATCGTATCCATAAAAACTTGAAATTAAAGTTGAAGAGCTGAAAATACTTGGAATGATACCAGTGCTATTTAAGTTGACCATTTTCATTCAGGTTGAATAATTCTCAGTTGATCCTTTCTTTAAATTTTCAGTTAAATAAGAATCAGGCTTGTTAAATTACTAGTGTTCAGAATGCAGTCTTTGCCTGTATCTAGCTTGTGTATTCACGCTGGCTGGCTTAGAACAAAGTCTAGGAATTCTGAGCCTGCCTCCTTTAATTGTTTTCAATAAATTTCATAGGTGCTAAGGTTAGCTTTTTTCCAAGCTTGGACATTGTGGTTGGGCTTTACAGTGTTTTTTGGAGGTTTGCGGGGTTTAGCAATACCCCCTAAAACCATTAATATGCTCTCTGATATGACTCATTA